TATATGCATTATCATGTACAAAAAACATTTTTCTTCATGTAGTTAATGGGAATATTTTACCCTGCGTATTTTGGCCGCAAGGTGTTCCGCGGTTTTTAATATGTCGATGACGTGTGTTGCCTAGTAATAACAGAGACACTCCGGTAATAACAATTCCCGCGAAATTATTAAAAAAGGAAATTTTGATCAAAAACAATGCTTTGAAAGATGATAAAAATGTTATCTAAATGTGGATTGTATAGATATTGATAAATATCAGCCCGCTCGACAGAACATGAAGCTAAATGGCTCGTTCGCTACGCTCACTCGACATTTAGCTTCATATTCTGGCTCGCGGGCTGATATTTTTCTATATCTATATATCCACAACCAGATAACATGTACGTATCTGTGTTTTGATGATCTGTAATGTCGATATTTTTTAATTCGATGCTTTTATCTGAACTATATATTTTATTGTGCGTTTTTCTTTATACTTTCTTTTTTATTTCAACGATTGAGAGAGAAAAAAACTCTGGAGGGTTCAGTTGATAAAACTTCGTCAGTTGTCTTTGTTTTCATATATATCTTTATTTTTTTTACCATTGTATCAATTAAGAAATTCGGTGTCGAATGCAGATCTTTGGCAGTAACTGTTAAGTCTATAATATGCACATATGCGCGCTGTGTATGGGGTGCATTATTATACTCATATTACTTCCAAAATGGAAAATTAAGGGGTTTAAAAAAGCATGTACTATCTGTTGTGTGTTGCATTGGCAAGTAGTATTATTTGGTATTGAAAAGTAACCATAATAAAAATTAGCTTTCAGTTAATTGCGAGTACTCTCAGATTTACACTTAGTGTCTTTTGTGATTTTGTTAGAGTTTTTATTTACTTTGTATCGATCTGATGAGTTAAACCCTCTTAATGCCAACGCGACATATATGTCGTTTCAGTGTTGATGCCAAAGCGACATATAAGTCGTTTGGGGGTTAGATGCCAAGGCGACATATATGTCGTTTCAGCAATATTACAATAAGTATATATTATAAATCAAAACTTTGCAACCTATACTACACTAAATAATTAATGCTTTATAACATTGTTGACCATCGGTCATCTAAGTGTATTTTGGAGCAATGACGTAGTATCCATGACGTCATTGTGACGTTATAATTATGGCACAAGTAAATTGAGTTTTCTTTCTCTGAAAAAAAACCCGTCTTCCAGCGGCAAACGACAACGTTGGTTTTTATATTTGCATGCACGCACATGACACTGATGCTGACGATTTAAAGATCGACATAAGAGCTGGAAACACAAGATAATTGAACAACAAGACCGTGCCGCCCTCCTTTTGGCATTGTAACTTACCAGACTAACATAATATAAAACACTTTATTGACCGCATATCCGACATATTCGTCAGACTGTGTGTTGAAAAATACTTTAGAAAGTTTCGCACATTACGTATGTTCGAATAGTAATGTTTCTGTGTTTACACTCTCAGTCCGAAACGGGAAATCGGTCCACCCATGACAGAATCATGGCCCAAGAGAAAGCACAGTTAGGACTCGCTAAATATTAAAATAAAATATTTAGATTTGGAGTTATGAAAATTTAGAAAAACACTAATTTTAAACATGGAACTCAACAGAAATTCCCTAACATTCTCGAAAAAATACACACTGCCAATGCCCACATTTTCTTATCTAAATTGAATTCCTTTTATCCAAATGGTGTTTGACTGATAAGCGACAAATACTTGACTTTAATTTGATAAACAAAATTTCGTATTTATTAGTTTTCGACAATTGAAATTTAACCATGTTTTTTACTCCTTTTGATGTTTCAAAGTGTTCTTTATTATTGCTAGCTGAATTCCTGCCGTGAAAGAGGAAAGGGTTAATTCCATTTTTTACAAACATATATTTCGTGAACTTCGACTGTTTTATTTGTGTGAACACCGCAGGAAAAACATTTTACAAACATTTTAGAATGAAATCGTGTCATTAAACATTATATGGTGCATTATTGACGAACACTTTCAGTCGGCTTCACATAGTTAATAGACGAAATATTTAATTTAAATTTTAAGTAAAGCTATTTTAAAACTGAATTTACGATTAATTAATTGCATGTCATTTAGTTCAGCGACCAATATTTCATACTTATAATATAAAAATAAGGGAATGTGGTATAACTGCCAATGAGACAACAATAAACCAAAGTTGAAAAGAAGTGGATGTCAGCAATATTGCAGGCAACCGTACGGCCTTCAACGATGAGAAAAACAATACCACTAGTCGCCTATAGAAGGCCCGAAATAAAAAATGTGAAATAATTCAATTTAGAAAATTAATGACCTAATTCATAATACTATATAAGGTCTTATTAAATATAGACTAGACTGTAGTGAAAAACCTCAACTCTAATACTATATTTGGCTTATTCATACTCGTGTACAAGTATAACACATAAGTTTTTAATCATTTATTGAAATAAAAATGAAAGTTACTGAATGTTTTTGACATTTTTTTTGGTATTTTTAGCCATGCATGCACCATCTGTATCCAGCTTGAAATTTTAAAGCCTGAGGGACCAGTATTTTTTATTTGATGTCTGACTTTTCCGGATTTAACAGAAGCTAGGGATTTGAATTTCGCTTAACAGATACCACAGACCTGGTCATGAAATATTCATAAATAAATTATAGAGAATAAACTGATGAAACAATATGTTCTCCGAGTGTTCGACATTCATTTTTTGTAATTTAACTTAAAAGGATCTTGTCGATAATAGTACTTCTCTGTGCGATGATTCACATTAAAAAATACAAAATGAACACCCAATGTCTATGCATTCGTTAGAAGAGAACACGAAAAGATATATAAGAGGAGACACCCTCTACTGACACATTTTTTTTACACAAAACCAGCAGCGGTTATTACGGCCTCTAAAATCTGGAACTATTTTTAACCTTTTGATTCGGTTAATGATGTAAAATATACCATTTAGAAATGAAATAAGTTGTTTTGCAGGTGAAGAATACAAGGAGTATGGGTACTAAAATTATTTTCGATAATAGTTACGGGCAATACTTTCTTTCATACTGTTTTTTATTTGCTGTATGTTTTTGAAATTGAGGTTGTTCTACAGAAATTTACACAAAAGGAATCTTGTCACCTTCAATACCCCATCTCCAAGATAAAAAGAAGTGGTATAGGCCTACATCAAAAGACACAATAAATTAAAAAAAATCATGACAAACAGAGGTTGACAAACATTCAATACACAATCACATCTATATAACTTCATATAATGAATAGTCCCGTGTCGAGACAAGTTAAGATAAATTTAAGCCCGTCTTCTGAATTTATCCCTAAACATTAAATGCAAGAAAAAAATGTTCTTACATGTAATATAAAAAAGACTACTGCTCATATGGTTTATGTATAGAGACAGCACAGGACAATGTTGCGAGGTTAAAATATCACGACATTACTCGCCTCCTTTTTTATCGGTAATTGTTAAATCAAAATGTCACTTATAGAAAAATAAAAGTTCTTGAACATGGGGAAAAACGATTATAACTGACCCTGCATTTCCCTTTTAGAAGAAATTATGTACAACTCCTTTTTATACAGTGGACGAGAAGTATTTTTCACGAACAACTTTTGGCTATATATTACATTTTTTAAATATAAATTTTATAAAGTTATTTCTAATTGGGTTTCAATCAACCAATAGAAAAAAATTATCACAAATCTATTTGTTTATAAGTTATATTTATCCTTGGACAATTATCTTTTACTGGTGATATAAACAATAATTTTTTATCCCGAAGTTTGCCATATATTTTACCCAAATTAGTTTGCAAAATATTAATATCAATGTTCACATCAGTAGAAAACAAAAACAATCGAAGATAAAACCCTAAAATATCTTTTTAAAAACTGTTATGATATGAAAATATATAGCCAAAATTGTAGGTGGCAAATACGTATTGCATAATACTTTACAATATTCCCTTGCAATTAAAAAAAAGAACTTTTAATAATTGGTCTTGCGTTTTGGAGAATTATATCAGTCGAAAATTTAAATGGGTAAAGTAACTAACACGTAAATTGCACAAATTCAACAGTATTTTCAAAAATTTATCAGTTAACTTTACATTCATGAGTCTCCTTGGTCCATCAAGAAGCAAATTTGTATAGAAAGATTTTAATCGGTCAATTTAGCATTATCAAAATGATCTCCTGGTCACCGCTATTGTGAATGCCGTTCGCGTAGAAAAAACAACTTTATAAATCAATATGAGAAAAAAAAACGCCAAAAAGACGACGTCAAAAGAATTTGGTACTGGCGACGTCAAATTGTCATTGCCTATTGGCAACGTTTCGACGTTGATTTTTTTAATGTGGCATCAAGAGGGTTAAGCTCATTTCAACTGACTTTTATAGTTTGTTCTTATGTCGTACTGTTACACCACTGTCCTAGGTTAGGGGTTAGGTTTGGCACCAGCAAACATGTTTAACCCCATCCCCAATTCTGTAAGTGCCTGTCCAAAGTCAGGATCCTGTAATTCAGTGGTTCTCGTTTGTTGCTGTATATCATATTTGTTATTCATTCATTGTTTTGTTTTGTACATAAATCGGTCGTTATTTTTCTCGTTTTAATTGTTTGACATTTGTCATTTTGGGGCCTTTTATAGCTATCTATGAGATATAGGTTTTGCTCATTGTTGAAGGCGGTACACACGGGGTACCGTACCGGTGACCTATAGTTGTTAACTTCTATGTCATTTGGTCTTTGGTGGAGAGTTATCTCATAGGCAATCATACCCCATCTTCTTATTTTTAATATTTTCCCTGATAGTAGATCTGAATTATCCCCACTTTATTCATAGTAAACTAGCACTGTGTAAATGAGAGAAGAAAGTTTCAGACACACGGTCGCTTCGACTTTTCTCTAGCACCTTTTTGTTGCTATATATTATCTATTGATTGTAATAAAAAGGATTTATATTGAATTTTAATTGTTATTGAACATGTTAGGTTGTTTTTGACAGAACAAATCACACAGTAAGTAAACTATTCATTGGATTTGGTCTTAGACCGTTCTAAAACATTGTTTGTTAACATATCTTCCATTCACCACGTGCTCGTTGGAATTCACTCTGTCGTTAAGCAGGAACAGTTCTCACTTATTTAAAAAATCTTTCCATTCAGAAATATCCAAAAAAAGTTCTGAACTTAATATGTATGATTATTCTGTACATTTAAATTCTGAGATTCAGATCTGGAACATCTTCATGTGTCCGTGTTGCTGTATACAAATTTTTTATTGACCTTTTTGTTTTTTCGTCAGTAAATTCTGAAGCATCGAAAATCTCATCATACAAATATCCATCGTCATCCGGCTGATCTGAGATCGAAAACAGCTGTCTCTCTGTCCTAGGAGGAGGATCACTGGTACCCGTTTCATCTGGTTCTAGTGGGTTGTGTTGACTGTAGTTAGATCCCGAAGACCAAGTTCGTCGTTTGAGATTTCGACAAAAAGTAAATCTATTTTTTCTAAAAACATATTAAGAACATATAAGAAACACGTAACTTTTGGAGTGCTTCAATTTTATAAATTTAGCTTATTATTTATATTATACATATGGAAGCATATTAGCGCCACACAACATTTTTTTTTATATTTCTTCCTATGTTTGCGTGAACCTTTGCGTTATAACGCAAACCTTTACGAACGAATGCAAACATTTGCGTTATAACGCAAAAACTTGAATTTTTATTATTCAGTAAATTTTGAATATTTGATAATAAGAAAAACACATTTTACATTCATTATATAATATGAAAAGTAGTTTTTTGTAAATATCGGCACTTGCATGTCCGTCTACCTGTAAAATTTGGTTGTGATTTAGTTAAGAAAAAGAACATGAACACAGGGCCAAGTCATTATCATAAAGATAATATACGTGTTTGGATCTAACCGATCTTACACAAGGTTCATACGAGTGCTTGCTTTGGAAGTAAATGTATATATAAAATACTATAATTATATATTTTGTAAATATACATACCTATATTTGGTAAAATAATAAAGTAAAATGATAACGGCACTGGTAACAATCACTACACCAATGATAGCACCAATGACTGTGCTCTTACTTAGTGCTGGGTCTACAAGACAAAGTTTGGCAAAGATATGATTTTTAGATACTTTCGATAAAAACTGTTCTAAGTTGTAGGCGAAAAGGAGAAAAGACTACAAATATTTAAATACTGCCTAATATATATGTGGATATCATGCTCACTTATTAGAAGTATTAAGAGATGCTTTGATTTTGCTGATCTTTTAAAACATTACATATGTGCCCGTTGTATTCGAATGAGCAAACTGAGGATCGATCGTATGATTGCGGCATTAATCATACCAGACATTTTCGTATGTGAAAATTATATAACAGCTTGCTTGTGCCTAACCCCTGATTGCTGGTATGTTGTTAAATCTATAAAGCTTATATATCTTCGCTACTGCCATACACGCCAATGGCTTACAAGGCAGTTAGTAAGTAACAAAGCTTCAAAATCGTCACTTAACATATGAGTCAGTCCATACAAAAAGGTACAAAAACGAAATTTTAACGAAATTCTAAAAAAATGTGCATAATTATTGGTAGCAGGCATGTGATGTAGATTGTTCTCAATTTCTTCATAATCTCCTGATTTTATATTGTCCATGTATGGTATTAGTGTCTTACTTAACTTGTCAATTGATTATGTTCTCCTACGTGTAGATAGCAGTGAGGATAAAGCCCTCGCTTACTAAGCAGAAATCAATGCATTTTAATGGGGACAGCACTTCGAATCCCGACTGTTCACACTGTTGGTTTATATAATATTTAACAATATAACTTTCAATTTAAAAAAAATAGATTCTTTTTATAAATTTAACAAAAACATTTTTTGTATTTTTTCGTGAATCCCCTGAGGGGTTCATGCTTATATATTGATGAGTTTTGGAAGCTTCTATATATATATGGGCCATTCGATATCCACGGAAACATGATTCTCGGAACGTCTCGAAATTTTTCGATCATTTATACAGGTCGTTATCTATGTCTTTGATACGGTCCCTCAATTGATATATTACCACGTGACATTTTATCAATTTTCGACAATCAAATCAAAGTTCATTTGTAAATCGGAAAGTAAAAGATTAAAGAATGAATTGCAATAAGAAAGCCATTTATATATCTCAACCTATTTGCTTTTGACAGACATATGGGGTTTTATTTGAAAGCATTAAATATGAAGTAATGATGTTGCAATTATATAATTTATGTTTTGAGACGGTCCCTGTATTAACCCGAATAATTCAGTCGTTATATTCCACTGCTCTGCGATGGCTACATTAACGCCTGAAGGCTTAGTCAATGTAAAATCGTCAAAAAATCATTCGGAATTAGCTCGGGATTTAGCTATTAGCTGATTGGCTCTCTCTCACAGAGAGCACCAATCAGAATCCTGGATTCGTGACGCGTTTTATCGTATAAAGAGTTCAGGCTCGCGAGTGGGAGAGTCGATCACGGGGAGGGACTGAATTATTCGGGTTGCTAATGTGCATGGTGACATTAAACATGGGAATAATATACTGACATTAAATTATGTCCTAGAATAAATTGATTATTTCTAAACGTTTACCACGTTCTATTTGTAAATCCATCATAGCCTGAGCAAATGTCGGAAAGCAAGAAGAAAATGAACAAAACGATATTACTGTTAAAAATATTTACCTTAGATCGGAAAACACAGAAAGATAATTAAACAAAACGAAATTCTGTCTAAAATAGTTATTTTCATTAATACAACAAATGTAGATACTAACAGACCCAGTGGCGGATCCAGAAATTTTTATAAGTGGGGGCCCACTGACTGCCTAAGAGGGGGCCCGCTCCAGTCATGCTTCAGTGATTCCCTATGTAATCAACCAATTTTTTTCCACAAAAGGGGGGGGGGGGCGGGCCCCCTGCCCCCCCCCCCCCTAAATCCGCCTCTGAGACCAAGGGAAAATTTATTAAGATTATCGTTAAACTTTAAACTGAAACTTAATTTATCATTAATAGAATATAATTAATAATGTTATATTATCATCGGGTTTTAACAGTAAATACATTTATGAAAATCATATGCAACATATTAGTACCAAGGTATCAGGAATGAACACAAATGAATTAGTATATAATTTTTAAACTGTAAGGAATGAAAAAAAATAGTTGCATGCTTGTTTAAACTGTAAGGAATGAAAAAGAATAGTTGTATGGTTATAATTCACAAGAATGTTGAATCCTTGCATTTCACAAAAAAAGTTAATATTTTACAATAAATTAATGTAACACGTCTTCTGATTGCCTGAAAGTGTTTTGTCTATCAGCTCATAGATATAATTTTGTCATATGACCGTGACGTCAAAAACGTTTTTATCATGATTTACTCCTTTTTAGAATTAATACCGTTTACGTATGGTTTTATAAGTCTCTGCTTATATTTTGTATAGAAATAAAATAGAAAGTTAGACTTCAAGAAGAGATTGATTTGATAAAAAAAAAATTGCCATTAATAGTAATACTTGACGTTTGTGTTTATTGATAATATATTTTAAATTTCCGGAAAAGATTTATTAACAGCTAGTAATGTATGTTAATTAAATTGTAATTCTTTTTTTTTTTCATAGTTCAACCTTATAGCATTTTAATCCGTTTGCAATGATTGTGCGATTTTGAAAATTGTATGCATTGTGTTGACCAGCTACCCTACAAACGTCTTGCTGTTAATTTACATAATATTACTATTATTATTACACCCTGTTCACACGACACAACAAAATCGGATTAAAAATCTGGTTTTACAACAATATAGGTTTGCGTTGACACAAGTTCCGGATTGAAAGGCAATGAATCCGGAATAAATATACGTGATGACGCAAATGCATATTCTTATCCAGAATATCAGCGCGTAATTCTTGCCATTTACTATTTCTTGCGCAAGAAATCTACGTGCATGCGTAAACATTGATTTCACTCTGGGTAGGTGATTTTTTTGCATTTCTTATCTAAATCTAGAACACGGCAGTAAGAACTTTACATGTGATTTTGAAGCATGCTCATCATTGAGGGACTTTGACATCTAGTTGTTTTTTCTAATCTGTTTCTTTCTTTTTGAGTAACTGTCCTATTATAAACTTTTGAAATTGAGTCTTTTGTAGTCGAAACGTTCGTCTGGCGTACATAACTTTAATCCAGACCACGTGTCCATGATGAGTTTATTGATTTTTCTTTTTGAGTGCATGTTCGGGTATTCACAAGACCTGTGAAAACAAGATATTTTTCAAAACTAAGTTTTCCTGTCGAATTTTTGAATTGATTTAAGTTACTTTAGAAAGTCCTTAAAATTTGAAATGTTTTATCTGACCAAAATAATTGTCAGTATATAAGAGGTCCTAATGAAGCTGGTGTGTTACTCTCACGAACAAAATACGAAATCTTCTTATAATTTGTGTGACAGAGTTGCACTTCATATGGAAATTGGACTTTCAATTTCTCTATACCACCTCTTCTATGAGTACAGACAGCTTCAATGAGTATAAGAATAATTTAAAGCATCCAGGAAACAAAATATGAAGATATGAAAGATAAAATAAACGCATCCAGATTATAAAGCAAACTGAGTGCTAAACTTTATATCTTGATTGGTCTGTGCAATTTGCTTCAGTCATCCGGTTTGCAGAAATTGAGAATTGCAATAGGATTAGGTCTCTGAACATAAAACACGGAGAGAAAATGATGTACACTCCCTAGTAATAAATATAATAGTCAAGCCTTAAAAGGTAATTTCAAATGGTAGCTGTATACAATTTTCTATTTACAACTAAAATCCAACAGTGATTTTAATTGACTTGTGGAAGAATCTACACACAATTACATATTTTTAATAAAGGTGTTTTAATATCTTCACTACCTCATTCTATTAACATTCAATTATTTTAAATATCAAAGCAAAAATAAATTCAGCAAAAAATATTTTGTGACCAGTCAGCAGTCTTGGGTTCACGAATTGCTGTTCTTTTTTTTAAAGAAATCAACTTGTTTCACATTGAATGGCTCATATCCTTATAGTCTAGGCCTACTGTTTCTGACTCTTAGGTTAAGTTAGATTGTGTCTATATTATCATAATACATTCCACTAAAATACATGAATACAAACCTGTTGTTGTTGACGCTAATGAAGCTGTTGTGTTAAGGGTTGTATAGACCGTTGATGATATGGTTGTTTTCGCTGGTAAAGCTGTTATTGGTATGGTAGGTATCTTCATTTTGTCTTGTGTTTATTGATGTCTTTCAGATAGGCACCTTCATGTTAATACAATCTTTACGAGCCATCCTTAAATATATAACAGGAAAGTTACAAAATAGTATTTTTATATGAAGATAACGAAATTGAAAATACCTGATATGTTATTGCTTCCGCAAAATATGCATAACGATCACTAAAAGTAGTTTTAATATGGTATGGCATATATATACACAAAAATGACAGATTTGTTTATGTACTTTGTCAAAATGTAGTTAACATCGTGTTATTTTAAAAAAAAAATATGATAAAATTTGTTTTCAATCTATAGATTGTGAACAATTGATACATATTGAAAACACCAAACAGGGAAAGACATTATTATGTGAATAGAAAGAAAATATAATGACAGAATTTTAAAATAAGATATGAGAAGATAGCTCTTACAAAAGGCTTGAGAAAAAATGGGGTTACTTTATCGTATAATACAAAATAGAACAATTTGCTGTACATTCATTTATAACTTAAATTATATGAGTTATATCCCCTTAAATAATTCTTCATTTAAAAAAAAATAATCAAAAAGAATTCTGTATTTGTTTAAACAGTCGTAATAATAAGATAAACATCTCATCATTTTCTTCATTGAAATGAAGTCTTCCAAATGATTTACATTTATGCATCAAAATTTGCTTATGTCATTAAAAATCGAAAACCAATTTTTGTCGAGCCTATGACTTTTGTCGCAGAAAGCGAGACATAGGGATAGTGATCCCGCGGCGGCGGCAGCGTTAACTAACTGCTTAAAAGCTTTATATTTCAG